TTATATATATATATATATATATATATATATATATATATATATATATATATATATATTAGCAGGGGTATTTTCAGCACATTTTGAGAAAAAATGTAACAATAGGGGGTTTTTGTATTTATGTTTAGTACATAGTGGATATATGATACAAAGTTCACAATAAATGAGTGTTTTTGCATTTAACCCTAAAACATAAATAACAAACAATATTCCACATAGGCTGACATACATGGCTTCCTCAATGAGTGAAATATTATATTTTTAGGCCTGAGGCCATATATTATATTGTATTTATATTAATAAATTTCATTTGAGGATTTTAGTCTACTTGCCCCATGTTATTTGTCCTTGTCAGACGTTAACATTGTACCCACTTCTGGCCACATGGTATTCATGTTTTAATTAATAAAAAAATATGTTGTTTTAATTAATAGTGCGTGACTCATGTTTTAATTAAAAAATATATTGTTTCAATAATAGTCTGTCGCTGGACATTTGATATTAGCTAAACATCAAAATCAAAATTGAATTATCAAATACTCATTTGATAATTAAGATAATATTTTAATATCCATTAATAGTTTATCTACTCCAAGCATGGTTATCAAAAGTAATAATCAATTGGAAGTTTTTTAGTGGTTTTATTTGTAATTGTCACATGTTATTTTGTGATTGGATATTTAGGTGGTTATTTTTTTGATAACTCAATTTTCAGAATATATTTTTACATGCAAAAAAGTAGAATATCAAAGTACATACCCATTTTGATACTCCCATTGGAGTAGATTTTAATTTTGGGATATAAAAAAAGTGGTTTATGGATTTGATAATCCATTTGATACCTCCCATTGGAGTTACTCTTAGCTGCTCATAAAAACCATTCACATGTAATTCCCGAAATCCAACTAAAAAAATTGGCATTATATATATATATATATATATATATATATATATATATATATATATATATATATATATATATATATATATATATATATATATATATATGGTAAATTACAACCACCCCTGAGGTATGGTCAAATCACAAAAACCCCTTCATGTTAGGTAATTACAACCACCCCTCAACTCTTTTTATACGTCCACCCTTGCGGTTTCAAATTTAGTGGAATTTTCGAGATTATAAAGAATATTATCACTTTTGTACCCGTTTTATCCCATTCAAACTCAACATTTTGAAGCAAGATGATCGTAATATGTGTTTTTTGCCTTGTATATATCAGATTGTGGTGCATCAGAAACTGTATCTTTGCACAAAACAATTACAAACTAGAGCTCATTCTACGCAATCTAGATGATTATGTTGAATTCGACACCATAAGGGTGGAAGTGTAACAAAAAATCATATATAGTTGAGACCCTGAGGGTATATGTAATTATCCAAACAAGAGGAATTTTTTCCTAAATTGACCATACCTAAGGAGTGGTTGTAATTTACCCCAATACATGTATAAAAGAGATTACTGATCACAAAGATATGTAATAATATAACGATGAAAGTTAAGGTTGTTAGGAGGAAGTTGATAAAACCATGTACCTCAACTCCTCCAAACCTTAACAAGTATAAGTTGTCTTACATGGATGAGCGCATCCCGCCGATAAATGTGGGTGTGATTCTATTTTATCCTACAAAACAGAAAATAAGGCATCAATTGGAAGAATCTTTGGCCAAAATCCTACCCGAATTCTACCTTCTTGCCGGAAGGCACATCACGAATGACCACGTCGTCGATTGCAGCGATCAGGGTGCTGAGTTTGTAAAAGCAGAAGCCGTTGATGTGGATCTCACCGATTTATTGAAAATCAAAGAAGCAGAGCTACTGAATGATTTCCTTCCAACCAAATTCTACCAAGTCGACAAATCTCCGACGGATCCACTTCTGTCGATCCAGATCACGGAGTTGATGTCGTGCGGTGCGCTTGTAATAAGCGTCAGCGTTTGTCACAAGATTTTCGATGCGTCTTCTCTAGGGACATTCGTTATGGCCTGGTCCAATTCCACCAATGATAATAATAATAATCATCCAATCGCGATTTGCCCGAGTTTCGAGTCGCCGTTGTTGTTTCCAGGCACGAACCTGTCGCCTGTTAGGACATCCTACGATCCTAGTATTGTTTTCAAGAGGTTTTCGTTCGGCAAGGATGCGATAGCAAGCCTGAGGAAGAAATTATCGCGATTAGGGCCGCCAACGAGAATCTCGAGAGTGCGTCTAGTGTGTGCGGTCATGGCCAAGGCATTGTTCGGCGTGGACCGGGCGAAGCACGATGGAGGAGAGTCGAGATCTTGCCTCGTGTCACAAGCGGTAAACATGCGTGGGAGAACGATCCAGCCTCTGCAAAACCACTCCTGCGGGAATTTGGTAGTATTCTCGCTCACGCCGTTCTTTAATATTATTCCTCCGGCCGAAACAACAAACGGCGACGACGTTGTAATTGGGATTGAACAACTAGTCGGCATTCTCGGTGATTCTCTCGAAAGAACCATTGCCGATTGTGCTAAACCGTTTTCTCCGGGTTGGCACACCGTAATGATGGGCCCCGTCGCAGATATGTTTGCGAAACTAAGGAGTGGCGAGATTAACTATTCCATCACATTTAGCGATTGGAGTAAGTTTGGATTCTACGAAGCTGATTTCGGGTGGGGGAAGCCTGTTGGGGCAGGGATAGGGATAATGCCGCGTGAAAACAGCGTAATACTAATGGATAACAAAGAGGGCGATGGAATTGAGGCATGGGTGAAATTGAATCGCGATGACATGCCTCTCTTCGAGCAAGACGACGACATCAAGTTATATACAACATAATGTCATGAAACGAATGAGATAATATTCGTTTTTCCGTTTTCTCCTTCAGAATTTTAAAATTAAATAAATTCCACTGTAACGATTTCGTTTATGTTAATGTTGTTAAAATCTGTTCGAGTGTGCAATGATGCTGTATAATATGTTAGATTGATTCGAGTATGTAATGATTTCGATCAATTTGATACTTTTCTATGTGTAACATGTTTTACTTAATAAAACGAGGACACCTTTGCTAATTTTTATGAGGGTACTTGCTAGGAAGGTGCACGTGCATTGCACGTGTCTTGATTTTTTTTTAATGTAACAAATTAAAAATGTGTTTAGAGAAGAATTTAAAAATAAAGTAATGTTTGTTTTTATTTTGAGGAGACACAATTTATACTGTGATCAAATCATGTTTAAACTTAAACGTCTTGAAAAAATGTATTACGAAAGAAGAATTTGATAAATAAAGTGATTTTTTATTTGTTTCTAATTTTTACTATAGCAGTCAAATCATGATTGTAGCCTTGTATGAGATAAACAATTTTAATTTTCTTGGGAGAATGTTTATAAAATTAAAAAAAGAAAAAAGAAAAAGAAAAAGAAAAGGATAATTTCATTTTGGGGAAAAAGTGAAAATAATTTGGAACTCTAATCAAACAAATGCAATCTTTAAAGGGATAATTAGCAAGAACCTCCCATCTAGGAAAATGAGTTAAGGAAACACCCTCTTCCGAAAATAATTAAATAAAATCCCCTTACCTAATATTCTACCCAAATATTATTTCATAATTCCAAATCTACCCTTAATTGACAATATACTCTTTCAAAACCCTAATTATGTTTTACGCCGTTTTTTTCTTTCTTTTTCTCTTTTCATCTCTTCCCACTCTCATCTCTTTCTCTCTTTTTTTTTCCTTCTCTACATGATCTGATCTGAGTGTTTGGTGGCGGTTCGACTATGGGGCGATGGTAGAAGGCGGCGCCAAGGCGGCGCGGGCGGAGGTTTGGCGATTGGAGCTTCGAGGGGAGTCTCCACACCGGAGGAGATGCGCACGTTCGTCTATTTCTAAGATTTACTCTTTATTTATGGTTTTGATTTTCTGGAGTAGTGTTTGTTGCCGTTGTTTCTGCTTTAAAATTTGAAAATTGAAGATCGGGAATCTAACTACAGATAGAAATCTCAGAGTTGTACGGGGGCTGCAAAATACACATTCAAGGTAGTTTTGTTTCATTCTACTTATTTGTTATGAAATTTTTAATCTAATTTTGCTGCATATTTTTTGATATAGGTGGCTTTGTTTTGGTGATTTTGATCATAGTACATGGTTCTGTTTTGATTGTTTGTATATAGGTGGGGTGGTGATAGTGTGGTGTGGCGACGACGTGGTGACGATGAAGAGCAGATCTAGGGTTTTTTGGTGGATTGTGGCGGAAGACGGTGCATAAAAAGAAATTCGCACAGGCATGACCCTTAATCGACTACATGTGGTTTAATCGACTATGTTCAATAGTCGATTAAGACTTAATCGACTATGTTCAGTAGTCGATTAAGGTTAACCGACTCCAGTTGTTAATTTTTTTTTTTGATTTTTTGTTTATTGATTCCAATGTATAAATCAATTATAATGTCTGTATATATTTTTTTAAATATAGTTGATTTTGCATTTTTTTTGTAATTGTGATTTATTATTTTTAATAATTAATTTTTTAATCGACTATGCATTAATAAACCCGGTAGAGAAAAAAAAATTAAAAAAACCAAAAAAAAAAATTAAAAACAAAATTAGAAACAAAAAATATTAAAAAATTAAAGATTTTCGTTAATCGACTATGAAGCATAGTCGATTAAGGCTAATCGACTATGTGTTAAGTGTATATTTTTACACTTTATCGTACCTTTTTATTTGAGCTTTTGGTGTGTTTTAACGATAATTGGTGCTTAAAAAGTTGATTTATTGTATTTTAGGTACAAATTGAAGAATTGGAAAAGTATGGGGTCAAAACTGCAACTTTGGAGAAAATATGGGCCAAAAGTGAGAAAATCAAAATTCTGAAGATTTAAAGCTCGGACCCCCGTCCGAGTTTTAGTTCAAATTATAGGACCCCCGTCTGAGAACCAGAAGCATCTCTGGTTGTGAGACGGCCGTCCGAGTTTTAGTACAAAATTCGGGACGGCCGTCCGAGATGATGAAAAAACGCAGTAAAGGAATCCTAATTGCACAAGGAAACTACCTTCTTCCCCAAGTTTTCCACCCTATATAAGACCAAGTCAAGCACACAATTAGGGATCCATCTTTGGACGCAAATTCAAGAGCAAAGAAGATCAACGAAGATTCTAGCATAGTTTTTCTTATTTAATTTATTTATTTTATTTTCCTTATCATAAGAATTACGAGTAGCTAAGTCTTTATTTCTTGGATTTTATTTGGAACCCTATGTAGGATTTATGAACTCAATTCTATGATTTTATGCAAGTTTTAATTCCGGATTATTTCTTCTACTTGTTTGATTAAGTTCATGAAACTGGCCACTTTATGCACCTTTTATGTTATTGTTAATCGCATGAATCGGAAGATCGGGTTAATAATTAGAACTGTGGTAGAAGAGCCTTTGTGGTATTAACATAGGAATATAGTTAATCTCTTAGGTAGCCATTATTGAGATTTGTGCTTAATGCTGTGTTCTAGAATTAATTGCATAGGAATATAGTAATTGAATCTAGAGTATTAAAATCGTAATACACGCGGAAGCGGGTTATGATTAATTTAGCATCTCAGGTTAATAATCCGGGTTAATTGCTTGCATAATTGAAGGAATTGGGGGAATACTAATCACATAGGGGGAAGAATAAAATTCTAGGCTTGTTTACTCTGATAAATCTTCGTGTTTAATTTGTTTTCTTGCTTTGTCTTTTTAATTTGCTTTAATTTAGTTAATTCTCTCCAAAGTTGACTGTGTAGGGTGGGCTTGATAATAATTGGTAGAATTTAGCGTCTAGGATTAAATAATTAAATATTCCCTGTGGGTTCGATATCCGGACTTTTAGTCCACTTTATTACTTGTACGATACGTGCACTTGCGTGTAGGTTTTCCGCCAACACTATGCTTCATAGTCGATGAAGGAAACTGATACAGAAAAGAAGGGGGAAAAAAAATTCGCTGAGTGCGTGACCCAGCGATGATGTGGCGGGTGGGGGCAAAGCTGGAAAATATAATAGCTCAAAATGGGTGTGGACTTTTCTCAAATGAACTGAAATATTTTGGACCTCTCTCCATTAAAAAAAGTAATGGGTGAGTTTCCTCAAAGAGCCCCATTTTTAAATAATTTGGTGAGAAATGGGAGGGTGGAAAGAATTACAATTTCAATCTTCACTTTATTCCATAAAAATAAACAATACTCAAAATATACAAATCGGTCCACTGGCTTAAAAAAAAATGGATTATTTGACAAAACGTCCTCATTAAATATGTGCAATTAAGATGAGTCCAAAATATTTTCCTAATTTTATGATAAATTCAAAATATTTTTTAATTACCATAAATAATTCAATGTCGTTATAATACCATTAGTCTAAACCATCAAACTCTTATTTTATCTCGTTATAATACCATTAGTCTAAACCATCAAACACTTATTTTAATTCAATGTCGTTATAATACCATTAGTAAACCATCAAACACTTAAAAAAATGGAGTATTTGACAAAACGCCCTCATTAGATATGTGCAATTAAGATGGGCCCAAAATATTTTCCTAATTTTAAGATAAATCCGAAATATTTTTTAATTACCATAAATAATTCAATGTCGTTATGATACCATTAGTCTAAACCATCAAACACTTATTTTACCTCACTTTCTATTTCTCGACATCCCCAACTCTTTCCTCCCCCATCCCTCCTCACGCTCACGCTCATTTTTTTTTTTTTTCAACAATAAATTTGACAAATGCAATACAATTTTGACAAAATTTAAAACATCAAATTTGTAATCCCTTTGCTTTCGAATCCAACTTGGATTAGACAAATTTGATATGGGATAATAGATTTATGTGCCACAAAAATAATAAATCAACTTTAAACTTGCTTTTGACCCCTCTTAATATTAAATGTTTTCTAACCTAACTTAGATTTATCCAAAATAGTTATTTTATATGTTCTAAAAACATAAAATAAATAGGGCTTGTTTGTTTGTACCGGAATTGAAAGCACTTCTCGCACAACTGAAAGCTAGCTTCTTCTCTACCACTTGATTTCGCAGCTGATTTCTCGTCAACAAAATCTATGAGGATGAGGAGTTCTGGAGTAGCTTTTGTTTGTAGAGTAATTACTTCTAAATCTTCTCATCAATACTCATACCCTACTTTTACTTCTTCTTTCTCTCTCCTCTGTTTCGATTTTCACAAAAATAGGCCCTTTTCAACTTTGCCCAGAAAAGATTATGAATTAGATGATACTGTTTTCTTGATTCGTAAAATGATGAGAATGCGGCCACACCCTTATGCCTCTGAATTTAACAAACTATTGCAAGTTATTGCCAAGAAGAAACAATACCCAGTTGCCCTTTATGTGTTCGACGAAATGCGTCAATGGGGTGCCTCTGTGAATGAGTACACGATGAACATCTTGGTTAACTGTTGTTCCCTTTCGAAACGTGTAGACATCGGTTTTGCTGTCTTCGGCATCTTCTTTAAACACGGTTACGCGGCAGATATTGTGACATTCAACACTCTTCTAAAAGGGCTCTTTTTAGATGGTAAGGTGGCCGAGGCGGAGAAATTGTTCAAGAAGATTTTGAGTTTGAGACTCTGTGAGCCAGACGATGTTACAATTGGTACTGTGATTGACGGACTCTGCAAAAATGGACGTGTTCATACTGCCCACGATTTGCTTTGCTTATTGGAAAAGACTATCTATAAACCCGATGTTCTGGCTTATAACGCGGTAATAAATGGCTTATGCAAGACCGGAATGGTGGATAATGCACTCGAGCTGAAGTCTAGAATGATTGAAAAGGGCATTTCACCTGACCTTGTCACATATAACTCGATGATTCAGGGCTTGTGCGATTTTGGTAGATGGAAAGAGGTCAAAGACTTACTAAATGAAATGGTGAATCACAAGATTTCGTTAGATGTTGTTACTTTCAATGTATTAGTGGACTCGTTTTGCAAGGAAGGAAGTGTTAAGGAAGCTGAAGATATTTTGGAAGTTATGAAGCAACAAAACATTCGTCCCGATATTGTCACCTACACTGCACTGATAGATGGGTACTGTTTGCAAGGGAAAATGGATAAAGCGAAAGAAGTTTTTTATTCCATAACGGGTAACGGCCTTAAGCCATGCATTGTCACCTATAACTCTTTAATCAACGGGTATTGCAAGAACGGTAAAGTGGATGAAGCTTGGCGTCTTTTTCTCGAAGCTTCTTCTAAAGGCTTAGAACACACGGCAGTTACTTATAACAGCATGATACATGGATTACTTGGTGAAGAAAGAATTGCTGATGCATGGAAACTTTTCAATGATATGGAAACTCGACAAGTACATCCTGATTTATGTACTTGCAATATTTTGTTGGAAGGCTTGTGCAAGACTCATCAAATTGCCGAAGCATTTTCGTTTCTACGGGTGATGGAAAATAAAGGTTTAAATCCTAATATAATCACATACGGTATCCTGATTAATGGTTTGTGCAAAGATGGGGAAATTGAAGATGCAAAAAAACTTTTAAACGAACTTCCTTCCAAAGGATTGCAACCTGATATTAAATTATATACCGTTATTCTCGGTTCACTTTCCCGAGAAGGGTGTGTAGACGAGGCAAAAGATATGCTTGTGAAAATGGAGAGGAGTGGGTGTGCACCGGATAGCATGACATACAACATCATTATCCATTGCTTGCTGAAGAAGAAAGAGGATGACAAGGCAATGCCATTCTTAGAGGAAATGCACGAGCGGGGATTCTCAGCGGATGCAGCTACTTCTTCCTTGTTAATTAGTCGCCTGCAAGGATCAAACAAATATGATGTTCTTCTCGAATTGATTAAGAAAGTTGTACCGAAAATATAAAATAACTATTTTGGATTATGAGATCAGGTGTCGGTATTCCATAAATATATTGTATAATTCATGAATTAATTTTTCTGAATTTTTTTTCCGGCCGGTAAACTGCAGTTGACCGCCGGCCTCCGGCGTCGACTTTTTTATTTTCTCTAAATGACTGTGTTAACAACAAAATTATTATTTGAGACAGTAATATTTAACGCCTAATCAGTAATATTACTAATATTTCTGTCCCAAACGGTAATATTAATGCATGAGGCAGTAATATTACGATCCGAGACAATTATATTACGGCCAAAGACAGCAAAATTGCAGGCCAAGACGATAAAATTAATTAATACAGTAAAATTACTGTCTCAAACAGTAATATTATGTCTCAAATACTTAAAATTATTGTCTTAGACAGTTAAATTACTTTCTCCGGGACAGTATTTTTGTAGGTCAAGATAGTAATATTAATGAAAATGATTTTTTTTAAGAAAAAAAAGGTTTTCAAATAATTTGGTCCCTCATGTTTCACGAAAAACACATTTGGTCCCTCATGTTTCAATAATTTAACACTTTTGGTCATTTCCATCAATTTACCGTTAGTCCGTCAGTTAAGCCAGTGTTGGGCACATGCTTGATTCCGTTATTACTAACGGAAAATTGACGAAAATGACTAAAATTGTTGAATTTGAACACTCAATTCAGTATCAAGTTAGTCGGATACACGAGAACCGTCATTTATTTGATAAAACATTATAATTGAAGCAAACATGTTATGCTGCTACATGCATCCGAGCATGATATATATTTTTGTTCTTTCTAATTTCTCTTATTTGTAGGGATGATAATTAAAAAAAGTAACTAGTCATTTTAGATTTAGACATAGCAAAACCTTGCTTAAAATTCCAGATGCTCGAATACATAATTTACAATTTTGGCACAACTTTCTTAATCATTTCCAGTAGAACATCGTCTTTGTCCGATCCTTGCATGTAATTAACATTAACGAAGTAACTGCTTCGGCGAATCCCCTTTTGTGCATGTCTTCTAAGAATGGCATCGCCTTGTAAACATCTTTTTTCTTCAGCAAGCAATGAATAATAATGTTGTATGTCATACTATCCGGTGCGCAACCACTTCTCTCCATTTTTATAAACAAATCTTTTACCTCGTCTATGAACCCTTCTTCACACAACAAACCAAGAACGATTAATTGAAATTTAAAAAATGGAAACAACATTAATTGAAATGAGGCGTTATTTGAGGGAGAGATTATGATATGATCCTAAATTATTGTGATTTGCACACCTGCAAATCTTTTAATTGATTTTCCATAACAATTCAATAGGGCAAATTTGGTATTTTGGTACGAAAGGGTTACCTCAAATATGTGATTTGAATTTGGATTTATCACTCTACCAAAATTGAACTGAGAGATAATAGGCTTAATCCCACTTTGCACCCTTGAAATGGAGCCTTTTCGCACTTTGCACCCTTGAAAAATAATAACAGCACTTTGCACCCCAAAACACAATAAAACATTCACAATGCACCCTGAATTGAATAATAAAGGCAATTTCATTTTTTATTGGTTTTTTAAATAACAAATATTTTTTTTCTTCAACATCCAACCTAATTTCGAGAGCACAAAGTGCGAAAAAATAAAAATGTCACAAGGATATTAAAAACAATTATATTTATATTTTCTTACAAAATAAAATAAAATAAACTTTTATCACCAAATTATTCGATTGATGGATCTTTTATTGCAACAGGTGGAAATATTAGGTAAAAATAATTGAAATAAATATATTTTTCAGATAACTTGATAACGAAATAGCTGAATAGTTTTTATTTCGTACAATATTTTTTTGTGACAAAAAAATATAATTTTAAATATGTTGGTGAGATGTATTTTTATTCTTGCACTTATAATTTCAAAATAATTGATAACTAAAAAAAGAAAACGGATTTGACATTTGTCATCCTTAAAAATACCACTAAAAATATTAAATTACCTTTATTAGCTTTAAAAATTCATTTGGGGTGCATTATGCATGATTTATTGTCTTTCAAGGGTGTAAAGTGCTATTAATTTGTTTCGAGGGTGCAAAGTGCTAAAACGGTATATTTTAAGGGTGCAAAGTGTGACTAAGCCGTGGTTTTGTCAAATAGCCCCTAAAAAAATTCAATGTGTGTATTTAGTTAGTGTATTTATTTTTCAGTTTTTTAATATACTTATGTTCATGGTGCAAAGTGTGAGTTAAAAAATATTTAATTCCTTCAGCTATTTTCTTGCCATATTACTTCAAAACTAGGGCAAATTACAAGAAACCCTTGAGGTAAGGTTTAATTATGAAAATCCTCCTTATGTTTGTGTGATAACAAAAACTCCCCTGAGGTATGTCGCCGTCTTACACAATTCCCATACGGTGTTGGTTTTTATGGAATCTTTTTTATTCCATGGAATATTCCGCTAAAAATATCATTTTTTCTCTTGATGTATTATTGTAAGCACACTAATTACTTCGGGGGTAAATTGTAATATCTTTAAAAAACCGTAATTATTTTTAATTGTAAAACTATAATGTATTTCTTCCAAATATAATTATTAAAAATAGAAAATATATATAAAAAAGGAATTAAACATATCTTTCAACATTAAAAGTTTTTATTTGTTTTATATTTTTTTGTTTATAAATTATGTAAGAGAGCAACATACCTTGGGGGAATTTTCGTAATTAAACAAATTAAGAGAAGGATTTTTATAACCAGACTTTACCTCGGGGGTTTCTCGTAATTTACCCTTTATTGTTTTCAAATAATAGATATTGGTAGAATAATACAATTCGCATTAGAAAAATACTCACAGGTTCCAACCATTTGTGCACCTAAAGATGCAGTGACTACACGAGTATAGAGGTGATGAAGTAGGGATGACAGCGGAGCGGGTACCCTCGAAAAAGTGTAATACCATAACCATTACCATTTAATATAGCTAAAACCAAAACCATACAAAAACCATTTAAAATTTTAATCGGAATAGCAGAACCATTACCAACAATATCCGGATACCCGCGGATATCCATTTACCATTTAAATTATGGTAATAAAATAACTTCGGGTCCGATAACGATTTAAGTAACTCTCAGAAAAGAGGAAGGAAAAAAAGAAAAGAAAAAAAGAAGAAGTAAATTATACAAATATATCCTCGCTAAATTATTGTTTTATTCATATTATGTTGAATTAAAAACTAATATATATTATACAATATATATAAAACCAGAACCATACCAAAACCATGATGATTTGGTTTTCTTTTCCCAAAACCATTATCAAATCCTAATGGTTTCGGTAGCGGGTTTTAAATGGAGCAGATACCCGCGGATAGCTAGCGCATCGGATGTTTTTGCCATCCCAATGACGAAGTGAGCATGTGCATGTTGGCACGGCGCTTACCCATGATTTATTGTTCTTACTAGTGTTTTTTTTTTGGACTCTTAGATTAGTCCTCTCTAAACATTACAATAATGACAAAATTTGACAAATGCAATACAAATTTTACAAAATTTTAAACATAAAATCTCTAATCTCTTGAGTTTGCTTTCTAATCCAACTTGGATTAGATAAATTTGGTATCAGATAATAGTATGAATGATTCAACGGAGGCTGCCAAAGAGAACAATAAATCAACTGTAAACGTACTTTTGACGATCTTAATATTGAATGTTTTCTAACCTAACTTGAATCATTTAAAGTGGAGGTTAGATTTATCGATAATTTAATAAACACTGCCACAACTCACGCCCAAAATGGGCGTGAATCGCCTCCTTGGGTTGCAAATTTTTTATAATCCAAAATAGTTATTTTATATTTATGGTACAACTTTCTTAATCATTTAAGAAGAATATCATCTTTGTCAGATCCTTGCATGTCGTTAATTAACATTAATGAAGTAGCTGCATCGACCGAGAATCCCCTTTTGTGCATGTCTTCTAAGAATGGCATTGCCTTGTAAACATCTTTATTCTTCAACAAGCAATGAATAATAATGTTGTATGTCATACTATCGGGCGCACAACCATTTCACTCCATTTTTATAAGCAAATCTTGTGCCTCGTCTATGAACCCTTCTTCACACAATGAACGTACACTTGACAATCAGGTTGCAAACCTTTGGATGGAAGTTCGTTCAAAATATTTTTCGCATCTTCAAGTTTCCCATCTTTGCACAAACCATTAATCAGGATACCGTATGTGATTATATTAGGACTTACTCCTTTATCTTCCATCTCCGTAGAAACGAATTTTTTAATTTGTATTTGATTCATTTGTTTAAACGTTATGTAACCTTCATCTAAAAGATCTTGTAGTTATGAATTTGACGTATTTTTTTTTTTTTTTATGTATTTTCAAAATTTATCAATCCAAATTTTGCAATCGGGGCAATGTGCAACAAGAATAATATTTCGAAGGAGGCATTCACTTTTAAAAAAAATGGAGGGGTAAAATGCAAAAATTAGAAATTTACAGAGGATGATGTACAATTTGCTCAAAAAACAAATAGGGCTTGTTTGTTTGTACCGGAATTCAAAGCACTTCTCGCACAACTGAAAGCTAGCTTCTTCTCTACCACTTCATTTTGCAGCTGAATTTATCTTCAGCAAAATCTCTGAGGATGAGGAGTTCTGGAGTAGCTCTTGTTTGTAGAGTAATTACTTCTAAATCTTCTTATGAATTTGCATACGCTACTTTTACTTCTTCTTTCTCTCTCCTCTGTTCCGATTTTCACAAAAATAGGCCCTTTTCAACTCTGCCCAGAAAAGATTATGAATTAGATGATACTGTTTTCTTGATTCGTAAAATGATGAGAATGCGTCCACACCCTTATGCCTCTGAATTTAACAAACTATTGCAAGTTATTGCCAAGAAGAAACAATACCCAGTTGCCCTTTATGTGTTCGACGAAATGCGTCAATGGGGTGCCTCTGTGAATGAGTACACGATGAACATCTTGGTTAACTGTTGTTGCCTTTCGAAACGTGTAGACATCGGTTTTGCTGTCTTTGGCAGCTTCTTTAAACACGGTTACGATGCAGATGTTACGACATTCAACACTCTCTTAAAAGGGCTCTTTTTAGATGGTAACGTGGCCGAGGCGGAGAAATTGTTCAAGAAGATTTTGAATTTGAAACTCTGTGAGCCAGACGATGTTACGATTCTTACTGCGATTGACGGGCTCTGCAAAGCTGGACGTGTTCATACTGCCCGTGATTTGCTTTTGTTGTTGGAAAAGACTATCTATAAACCCGATGTTAAGGCGTATAGTGCAGTAATTGATTGTTTATGCAAGTGCCGAATGGTGGATAATGCACTCGAGCTCAAGTCTAGAATGATTGATAAGGGCATTTCACCGACTGTCGTCACATATAGCTCGATGATTCAGGGCTTGTGCGATTTTGGTAGATGGAAAGAGGTGAAAGTCATCACAAGATTTCCTTAAATGTTGTTACTTTTAGTATATTAGTGGACGCATTTTGCAAGGAAGGAAATGTTAAAGAGGCTGAAGATGTTTTGGAAATTATGAAGCAACAAAACATTCGTCCTAATAGTTTCACGTACTCTGCGTTGATAGACGGATACTGTTTGCAAGGGAAAATGGATAAAGCGAAAGAAGTATTTGATTCTATAACGGACAACGGCCTTAAGGCATGTATTATCAGCTATGGCACTTTAATAAACGGATATTGCAAGAAGGGAAAAGTTGATGAAGCTCGGCGACTTTTTCTCGAAGCTTCTTCTAAAGGTTTAGAACACACGACATTTACCTATAGCATCATGATACACGGATTATTTAGTAAAGGCAGAATTGCTGACGGATGGAAACTTTATAAGGATATGGAAGCTCGGCACGTACGTCCAGATTTATGTACTTGCAATATTTTGTTGGAAGGCTTGTGCAAGTCACAACAAATTGCTGACGCGTTTTTATTTCTACGGGCGATGGAAGACAAAGGGTTAAATCCTGATATAATCACATATGGTATCCTGATTAATGGTTTGTGCAAAGATGGGAAACTGGTAGAGGCGAAAAATCTTTTAAACGAACTTCCTTCCAAAGGGTTGAAACCTAATATTAAAATATATACCGGTATTCTTGGTTCACTTTGCCGAGAAGGGTATGCAGACGAGGCAAAAGATTTGCTTGTGAAAATGGAGAGGAGTGGGTGTGCACCGGATAGCATGACATACAACATCATTATCCATTGCTTGCTGAAGAAGAAAGAGGTTGACAAGGCAATGCCATTCTTAGAGGAAATGCACGAGAGGGGATTCTCAGCGGATGCAGCTACTTCTTCCTTGTTAATTAGTCGCCTGCAAGGATCAAACAATGATGATGTTCTTCTCAAAATGATTAAGAAAGTTGTACCGAAAGTATAAAATAACTATTTTGGATTATGAGATCAGGTTTTGATATTCCATAAATATATTGTATAATTCTTGAATTGAATTGAATTTATTTAATATTTACTTTTTTAATCTGATTTTTTTTTTCTCTCCAAATGAATGTGTTAAAACAAAATTATTGTTTGGAACAGTAATATTGAATGCCTAAATAGTAATATTAGTATATTACTAACATTACTGTCTCAAACAGTAATATTACTCCATGAGACAACAATATTACGGTCGGAGACAATAATATTACGGAATTTACGGTCGAAGACAACAAAATTGCAGGTCAAGACGATAAAATTAATTAATACACTAAAATTACTGTCTCAGACAGGTAAATTATTTTCTCCGAAACAGTAATATTGTAGGTCAAGATAGTAATATTATTAAAAATAACTTTTTTTAAGAAAAAGAAAATGTTTTATCATATTTTATTTAGGGGTAATGGCAAATAGGCCCATGACAAGGCACTTAATTAAAAGAGGGACATCCAACTTTTTTGTTTTTCAAATAAATCCACCCCATTCAAACTTATTTGCAAATAAGGAAAATCTCTTTATATATACCAAAATTACCCTCAATTCAATGAAACCCAATTCAACTCCAATTTCATGATTTACACCCCAATTTAGCCCAATTTCATCAATTAACTTATTTTAACCATAATTTCAATTTTGATCCCAATTTTGACCCGCCACCACCGGAGACCGCCGGTCGCCGCCGTTGACCGGCGTTGACTTTTTTTTTTTTGAAAAACTTTTTTTTTTTCCTGAATTTTTTTTTCCGGCCAGTCAACTGCCGTTGACCGCCTGGTCTCCCGCGTTGACTTTTTTTTTTTTTTTTATAAATTTGTTTTTTCTTAAAAAAATATTTTATTTAATACTACTGATTGAAATATTTTGGAAATATTTGGGAATCGATTTTTTTGAGATATAATCAATCACACACGATTGTAGGGATCTTAAATTTCCAGATTTTGTGTGTATGTCTTCTATAAGGCTATTTTCGGGAATCATTAAAATAGTGGGTTTCCTACTAATATTGAAAATATGGCTGGATCCCCCTTATTAAAAAAACACTAGAGAGGGTTATGACTAATAGTCCCTAAAAAAGAAGGACACTTGCCAGCAGAAGACCCACCCGGTGTAGGGTCGAAGTAAGTTCTTTTCTTACTACCTAAAAACAAAAGGTTTCATTTCCTATAAAATAATCAGCACTAACGTCAGTCACTATAAAACCAACGCCGTTAACTTAACAAAAATAAAACAATGGGAAAATTATAGTTTCACCCCTCAAATTTGTACCGATTTCACATTTGACCATCCATATTCACGAAAAACACATTTGGTCCCTCATGTTTCAATAATTTAACACTTTTGTTCATTTCCGTCAATTTACCGTTAGTCCGTCAGTTAAGGCAGTGTTGGGCACATGTTTGATTCCGTTGTTAGTGACGGAAAATTGATGAAAATGACTAAAAATATTGAATTTGAACACTCAATTCAGTAGTTAGTCGGATACACGAGAACCTCCATATATTTGATAAAACATCATAATTGAAGCAAACATGTTATGCTGGTACATGCATCCGAGCATGATAATTTTTTTTCTTTTCTAATTTCTCTTATTTGATGGGAATGGGATGATAATTAAAAAAAAGTAACAAGTCATTTTAGACATAGCAAAACCTTAATAAAATTCCAGACGGTCGAATACATAATTTACAATTTTGGCACAACTTTCTTAATCATTTCCAGAAGAATATCGTCTTTGTCCGATCCTTGCATGTGATTAATTAACATTAATAAGTGGATGCATCAGCCGAGAATCCCCTTTTGTGCATGTCTTCTAAGAATGGCATCGCCTTGTAAACATCTTTCTTCTTCAGCAAGCAATGAATAATAATGTTGTATGTCATGCTATGCGGTGCACAACCACTCGTCTCCATTTTTATAAGCAAATCTTTTTCCTCGTCTACAAACCCTTCTTCACACAACGAACCAAGAACGATTCTATACACTTGACAATCAGGTTGCAAACCTTTGGACGGAAGTTCGTTTAAAAGCTTTTTCGCATCTTCAAGTTTCCCGTCTTTGCACAAACCGTTAATCACAATGTCGTATGTGATTATATTAGGACTTACTCCTTTATCTTCCATCACTCGTACAAACGAAAATGCTTCGACAATCTTTCGAGTCCCGCACAAGCATTCCATTAAAATATTGTAAGTACATATACTAGGATGTACTTTCCGAGCTTCCATATGGTTGAAAAGTTTCCATCCGTCAGCAATTCTGCCTTCACTAAATAAACCATGTATCATAGTGTGGTAGGTAACCGTCGTGCGCTCTAAACCTTTAGAAGGAATTTTGCGAAAGAGACGCAAAGCTTCGTCAACTTTTCCCTTCTTGCAGTATCCGTTGATCAAAATGTCGTAGCTCATAATAGATGGCTTAAGGCCGTTGCCCGTTACGGAATCAAATACTTCTTTCGCTCTATCCATTTTCCCTTGCAAAAAGTACCCATCCATCAAAGCATTGTACGTTACAATACTGATTTTAGTAGAGTATTAGGGCATCTCCAATGGAAAAAGCAAATCGGGTCTCTAAATTCTGATTTTGAAAATCCATATGGAGACCCGGTGGAATCTTAGAGTCTCTAAAAAATAAAATCCCACAATGAAGGGCTCTATAATTTTGAGTCTCTAAACAATGTCCCATGAAATACAGTCTCCAAACAAGTTTGGAGATTTTACAAAAATCTGAAAATTTAGGGCCCCACTAAATTTCTTATTAGTGTTGATTTTTCTTCCACAATTTATATATTTTGAAGACAAATGGAGTTTGCTTACTCCATTGGAGATGCCCTTAGTAACAAAATTTTATTCTCCTACTTTTCGTTGTAAGAGTTATGCTAAACAATGTAATTAAGGGATTTTTAGTCTGCTTTCAATGAAATATAATTTCTTTATAAAAAAAGTTTGAAAAGATTTTCTGAATTCTGCCCATTTTGATTTAAAAAAAAACAATTAGAGAACAACATTTCATCTTATTTATGATATTTTAATTTCGGATTTTTCAAATATTTTTAGAAAAAAAACTAGAATTGGTTTTCTAATTCCTATAATGCTAATTTTGATCTGACCCGTCCTATTTTTACCCTACAGTTTTGAATGGCTCCCTTGTACTCGTAATATCAACACATAACCCACTATAATAGATAGGGGTAGCGTTCGTTAGTTTTTCCATCAAAATTAATTGCGCGTGTCAAACGTCAAATACTACATTTTTGCAGATAACCCCCTCGTGCTTATTGATGAAGAGGCGATGAAGGTAGAAATAGAATTGTGCAGGCCCAAGCTACTCTGAACCGGAATGACGAGGCGGAACGACGATGGATTTTGGCGTTTCGATGTTGTTTAGGCCCTCAAAATGACGTTTTTGTTGTTCTAGGAAAGTTTCAAATAATTCATAATTAATCCTAGAAAATTTGGATTTGAAATCCGTGAATTGGGTTATCTCCAATTTGCAGTATTCTATTTGATTTAGGAGTTACATCTTTTTTGCATTTGTTCGTAATTTTTCTGTTTGATTAGGATTTTCAACTTTGATTAGTATAATTAGTTGCTATAAGGCTTACTTTTCAGCATCGTTTATTATCAATAACATTTATAAGATTCTCTTAATTTTTTGGTGGATTCGAGAGTTTGTGCTTTGTTCTTTATTATGCTTCCGTTCTGCGTCACTTACATTTTCCCTTTATTTTTTGCAGTTGACGACACCCTTAAAGTTTGACCGCAAGGTTAAGTTTGACCGAAAAACTAATTGACACTACCCCATCAATCACAAAGGGGTTATGTGCTGATATTACAAGCACAAGGGGATAATCTGCAAAATCTTGTAAGAACAAGGGGTTAAGTGCTATTTACCCTTTTTTCTTATTGAATGACTAGTTTACAATTTTTATAAATGAAAACTTTCCCAACGAGGGTCAAACATTGTTTTGCCATGTTAACACGACTGCAAAATGCAGATGTTCCAAGCGTGTACACCGTAGCTCCTTTCATAAACATGATACTGAACATTCAATTCGGTATCATGTTAGTCGGATACACGGGAACCTTCATTTATATGATAAAACGTTGGAATTGAAGCAAATTATGCTGGTACGTACATCCGAGCATGATAGATTTTTTTTCTATTTTCAAGAAAGAGAGAAGACATGAACAAGAAATATAAGGAGAACGGAAAAAAGAGGAAAAGATGACAAGTCATTTAAGACGTAGCGAAACCAACCTTAATTTCAAAAGCTCGAATAGATAATTTATATTTTTGGTACAACTTTCTTAATAATTTCCATCAGAATATCATCTTCCTCAGATTCTTGCATGTAACTAATTAACATGGCCGAAGTAGATGAGTCGGCCGAGAATCCCCTTTTGTGCATTTCCTCTAAGAACGGCATTGCCTCTAAGAATGGAATTGTATGTCATGCAATCCTGTGCGCAACCGCTTCTCTACATTTTTATAAGCAAATCTTTTGCCTCGTCTACAAACCCTTCTTCACAAAGTGCACGAATAATGACAGCATATATTTTAATATTTGGTTTCAACCCTTTGGAAGGAAGTTCGTTTAAAAGCTTTTTCACATCTTAAAGTTTCCCAACTTTGCACAAACCATTAATCAGGATACCGTATGTGATTATATCAGGACTTACTCCTTTATCTTCCATCATCCGTAGAAACGAAAATGCTTCGGCAATCTGATGAGTCTTGCACAAGCCTTCCAACAAAATATTGCAAGTAAATAAATCAGGATGTACTTGTCGAGTTTCCATATCATTGAAAAGTTTCCATCCATCAGCAATTCTTTGTTCACCAAGTAATCCATGTATCATGCTGTTATAAGTAACTGTCGTGTGTTCTAAGCCTTTAGAAGAAACTTCGAGAAAAATACACCAAGCTTCATCAACTTTTCCGTTCTTGCAATACCCGTTGATTAAAGAGTTATAGCTGATAATACACGGCTTAAGGCCGCTGCTCGCTATGGAATCAAATACCTCTTTCGCTTTATCCATTTTCCCTTGCAAACAATACCCATCTATCAACGCATTGTAAGTGACAATATCGGGATTAATATTTTGTTGCTTCATAATTTCCAAAATATCCTCAGCCTCTTTAATATTTCCTTCCTTGCAAAAAGCGTCCACCAATATACTAAAAGTAACAACAGTTAAAGAAATCGCACAAGCCCTGAATCATCGAGCTATATGTGACAACAGTCGGTGAAACGCCCTTATCAATCATTCTAGACTTCAGCTCGAGTGCATTATCCACCATTCCGCCCTTGCATAAGCCATTAATTACCGCACTATAGGCCTTAACACTGGGTTTATAGATAGTCTTTTCCAACAACAAAAGCAAATCACGGGCAGTATGAACACGTCCAGCTTTGCAGAGCCCGTCAATCACAGTAAGAATCGTAACATCGTCTGGCTCACAGAGTTTCAAAGTTAAAATCTTCTTGAACAATTTCTCCGCCTCGGCCACATTACCATCTAAAAAGAGACCTTTTAAGAGAGTGTTGAATGTCGTAACGTTTGCCTCGTAACCGTGCTTTAGGAAGCTGCCGAAGATAGCAAAACCGAAGTCTACCCCTCTCAAATGGCAACAAGAATTAATCAAGATGTTCATCGTGTATACATTTACAGGGGCACCCCATTGACGCATTTCGTCGAACAGTTTAAGGGCGACGGAGTATTGTTTCATCTTGACAATAACTTGCAATTGTTTGTTGAGTTCAAAAACGGAGGGCTGTGGCCGCACTCTCATCATTTTACGAATCAAGAAAACAGTATCATCTACTTCATTTACACAAATTGAATCTGTTTTGGACGCAGTTGAAAATTTGTGGCAGGAGAAAGAGAAAGAAGAAGTAAAAATACCGCGTTCATGAGAAAAATTAGCAGTAATTGCTCTACAAACAAGAGACATTTGTACAGAAGATTAACGCAACTCAGAGAGAAAAAAAAAAAAGAAGAAAAAAAGAAAGAGGTTTGTTTTTTAATCTGAAAAGACCTAAATGCCGCTTAAATTAAAATTTTCAAATATTGGAGATTTCGCCCCAAAAAAGATCCCTCTTTCAATTCAGCCCTCAACATTCTCAAAAAGCTCTCTTCTCCAATCAACCAAAATCATCTCCGCAAATCATCTTTCCTTTGATCCGGCAAGCCATGAGACTGAAAAGGAGAATTCCCAAAATACAGCCTCGCAAATTGAAATCGCAAATTGAGTTCGTGTCAAAAATCCAAATGTACACAATGGATATTTCTATTAATCAACGTTATTTGCCCAATTCGGATGTCAAACCCATTAATCGCGGGCGGAGAAAGTCCATGGTCTACGTATATTTCACAATCGAGACGATGAATTCGCTCGGGAGGAGTGTTCTAAAAGATATGTATAAATAGCAGTGTTCTAAAAGAGGTCGAGGAGGCCGATTAATCGGTCTTCGAGGCGCAGGCGGTCCAAAACCTTTACGATTTTGGTGTAAAGGTTTGAAAAATCAGGTTTTGGTCTCTGAGGCGGGTTGAGGCGGTCAAACCTTGGAGGCGAGTCAAACAACGATGGGAACAAAATTCTTTTTTCTTGTAACTCTTTTATTTTAAAATAAAAGTTGAGTTTTTAATTTAAAAAAGATTAAGTTTATGCTTTATTTAATATGCTAATATTGTTAAAGAACCTAATGATATATGCTTGTCATGTTCAAGAATAAATTTAAACTTAAAAGATTTGCGTTTTATTTGTATTTTATAAGAATTTTTATTGTATTATGATCTTATTATTATTAAATTTTTATTATGTTATTAGGATATATAAATGATTGGTATATAATCATATTTAAATATATTTTTTTTATATGTTTTGACTATTTACAAATAATATCTAGAAATATATTATATTAAATTTTAAGAACCGATTTATTTTCAGTTTATCGCCGATTAATCACGCCGCACTGATTAATTATGAGGCGATGCCTAACCGTCTCCGACCCGATTTTCTCTTTTTACAACCTTGATAAATATTTAGATATAATTGGAATCATCGAATTGGGGTTTTGGTGTAATACCCCATACTTTCAAAACCCCAAACTACGAACTTAAATTTTTCCTCAAAAAAAAATTTTGCGTGGATTAATTAAATTAATAACTTGCATAAATATTTTAGGTACTTTGACGTGCTATATTTAGCTAATAGCTTGATTATGTGTTTAATAAATATGTGATTTTGTGATTACGTGAAATATATGATTTACGTATTTGATGGCTTAATTAAATTAATTAGCATATTCTGCCTACTATGTGTACATGCATATATATGTATATATATATATATATATATATATATATATATATATATATATATATATATACATGTTTATGTATGTGTGCTTTACAAATATATTTATATATATATATATTGATCGGATGAGTGTGTGTGAGTGAGTGGTGTGTTTAAAATAAATAAATAAAATTAGTAATATTTTGCATGACTTAACACTTGGCATTTTCTAATCATTTCTCTTAATCCACACTCAAGAGATTTGAAGACACTCTTCCATTTCTTCCTTCCAACACCTAACCTCCCTACTTGGCTTCCTCTCCCTCATTCCACCGAGACATCACCACCACCATTGTTGCTCATCTTCTTCCACATCACCACTCATTTTACAAGAAAAATCAAAAACCACCATGAAAATCCCCTATTTAACCATGGCTCTAGAGTATGCAAAGAACACCATAAGAACTACTTGTCCATTCACCGGAGAAAACAACACATCTATTTTGGAAGCACACACTATATCTTTCACCATAAAAGTGGCTTGGCTCGAGTTTGGCATCAACCCTTGAAGTCTCTCTATTTTGCTTGTTCTTCATTTTCCTTTTGGTGATTTAGGTAAGAAATTTCGAGTTTCTTGCTGCAATTAGAAGATATCATATTATTTTAAAAGAGTTTTCAAGATTACCTAAAAGACTTTTAAGTATTTCGAAATTTAGGGCTTTTTGGGGAAAAATGGAAAAGAGGTGTTTAATGTTGATTTCTTGTTCTTGCATGCCTCATCTATGTTGTTAGTGGTTAGATACAACTTTTATTGGCCAAAAGCATTAAAAATTTCGGATTTCAAAAAGGGGTTTCAAGAAAAATGAATTTTTGAACTTTTATGGGGTTGCACGTGTAAATCGAAAGATTTTTGGGTCAAATCTGTAAATTTTGAAAAGTCAGTCCTAAATGTGTTTTCAAAACTGTTTTCTAGCATTTATTGAACAAAAACTTCGGATTTAAAGAAGTTTCGTAAGAAGAAGTGATTTTTGAACTTCTAGTGGTCTTGCATGTGTAGATCTAGAGATTTTGGGGTAAAATGTGTAATTTTCGAAATTTCTGCATAAAGTAACTTTTCAACTTGGTTTTCTGCATTTATTAAAGTATAATTTCAGATTGTTAGGGGTTTTTCACGAAAATGTGGATTTTGAACTTTTGGTGTGGTTGCATGTTTAAATCTTGAAACTTTGGGGTCAAAACTGCAATTTCCGAAAAATCTCTCATTTCTTAAGTTTGAATCTGTTTTCCAGCAAATACTAAATAGGAAAAAGTTTTATTTACAAAGTTTTCAAAATAATTAGAGTCATATTAGAGTTTTTGGATTTTTAAATAAAAAAAGGGTTTTTCTAGTTTTTAATTTCAAGAAAATTCGAGACTTTGTGAAAATTTAAAATAATTTCAGAATCTGGATATTTGGATCAGTTAGGAGTATAGGATTTAATTTGGGAAATTTTGGAATTAGTTTACTATTATTTCGAAATTAGAACATTTTGCTTGTCATTTATTATATTTGTGCATTTACTTTCATGTCTTTGATTAAATATCTATGAATGATGAGATTTGATACTTCTAGGGCTGGGACTGGGTTGGTTTTTAACCACCAACCGACCCATTACCGACCATATTTTTAGGCGGATAATCAATTTTTAACCGACCCATTGGATCGGGTCGAAAATTTCAACCAACCCATCTATAATGGGTCGGTTGGTGGTTTCTAATATTACCAAAAGTTGGTTGACCGATAATTATCGGTCATCCAACTATACTATTAAAATTTTATTAAAAATATAAAATAAAGGCCGTATTTTCTTAAGTGGTTATTGAAATTATCAAAATAATTAGTATTCTAAATTTTAAAACAATCAACAAAGGAAAAAAAATGACCTAAATCTTCAACCAGTTTCTTTATGCCCAAGCTTAAACAAAAACCCCACAAAACTTCATTAAATCGCTTGTGCATGTTTGAAATTACTTTGAATTTCCTAATTATATTTTTTCGTTAAATTGTTATTAATTATTTTGAACTGATAGATGATGATCGCACCGTGCCATTACGCAAAATTTGGATATTTTTACTCCAAAATTATATTTTTTTTAAGTGAACTAGGTGGCGGGTATAAACCATCAACCGACCCATTTCAGAACCAAATATTCGGTTGCCAACCATCAACCGACCCACAAAGGTTGGGTCGGCAACGGTTTTCAAATTTGAGCAAAAATGGTTTGACGGATGGGTCGGTTTTTAGGCTGGTAATCGACCGACCCAACCCAGTCCCAGCCCTAGATACTTTACACCTTAAATGGCTGCATGAGTGTGTGCTCAGAGTGTGTGTGTGAGGGTGTGCTGAATGTGTATGTGTGGCCGTGGTTGTGTGTGGATTTGGGGAATTTTACCCAAAAGTACAATTATGTGGTAATTGTGATATTTGTGTGGTTTTGTGATACTTGATTGATATTTGTGATGTTTAAATGACTTTAACATAAATTGTAATCATTCCATGACATGCATTTGCTTTTGACAAAAATGAAAGATTAATGGAATGTTTGGGTAATAAACGAATCGGATACGGTGGGCCGGTATCCAACTAGGGTTGAGAGGAGTGATACGAGTGATATGAGTGATATTGGATCCATAGACGGGCTCGAAACGGTTTATTATCCGAATATAGAAATTAATCTTTCACGGATCCGAGAAATGAAAATAAATGATTTTTACACGGATTGCATTCATGAGCATGTTTGTGACTTATATGTTTTAGTATCTTTGTGACTCGATTCTTGTTTGATGTTTGTATGACTCGGTGAAGGTGATCGGAATGTTATATATATATACTATATATATGTATAACCTATTTTCAACCCTCGGTAATTCCTCGGATTTCTTACTGAGCGTAATAGCTCATATAGATATTTTCTAATTGCAGGTAGTGCTAGTGGTAACCCTTCCCCGGAATGGACCGAGTAGTGGATCGAAGTCTTGCCCGGAGTTTTTGGAAGTTCGAACGAGGGTTCTATAAGTGTGGCTAAGTACTATTTTGGTGATGTAATATAAGATAATTTCCGCTTTCGCTTACTATCGTACTCCTCTTTAAAGTACGGGACTTTAATCGGTAACGGATCCTATTTTGAATTCTATAATATATTGATCCGTTTATGTTTATGAATAGTTCGTATATTTCGTGCTTTAATCATCTATCGCTTAAATATTTCTAAACTCTGATTTTAATTTCGAACCTATGTTTTATGATAGTGTAGCACTCGATTAAACTCCCTCCAAAAAAAAAAAATAATAATAATAATCGACTCAAGCTTTTCAAAACAATGTTGCGAAAAGTACTAGAATTCTAAATATTCAAGTATGGTTTTGAAATCGCAAGTGTTGATTTTTCGTGTTTTAAAAAGTGATCCTATAAGTTGCTTCCGCTAAATCAATTAATTCCGATAAACCGGTTCGATTTATCGCCTATAATAGAGGGGGTGCTACATTTGGTTAGGGTAATTTTGTCTTTTCAATTAAGTCCGCATTTAAATCCGATATAAGGGCCAGTGGGCAGTGAGCTACCTCAAATGCAATATAGGAGGGTAAATGCTAATTGTTTTAACACGGGGTCTTTTCAACAATTAGACTTTTCACAGGGGGGTGTGCAATTAACTCCACCTCGCCCCGTCAAAAGAATCCTTTTTGGACTATCCCCCCCTCAAAAAAAAAAAAAAAAAGACTGTCCCCATTCGAATACAGAACTCAGTGCACTTTGCCCCAAATGTGTATTTCCGGTTTAATTCCTGGCGAGTTTGAGTAAAATTTCATCTTTTAAGGCTTTAAATGTCATTTAACCTTTTGTCACCCCATCTTACGATGATATTAAAAACAAATAAATTTTGTCGAATTTGGAGAGAATTTCGTCTGATTTCATCAAATTGGGAAGAACATTTTATTAATTTGGGAATCCAAAGCATCTGCGAAAGAAGGATTTTCAAGCGGAAAAGTAAAATAACTAATCCACCTTTACTACGGCGAGACTTAGACTAGAAATACACATTTGGGGCAAACTGCACGAAGTTGTATATTTCGAAGGGGGACAGTCTCATTTTTTGTATTTTGAGAGGGGAAAGTGCAAAAAAATATTCTTTTGAGGGGGTGAAGTGCAATTTGCCCGAAAATTGTAAAAAGAAAAGTCGTAAGAAATAAAAAATATTTCAAATTTATATAATCTTTGGCCTTTGCATTAAAAAAAAGGAAAAATTGCACATCACCCCCTGTAAATTTCTAATATTCCTACTTTACCCCCTCAAAATTTTTAAAAGTGAATGCCCCGTCAAAATGTTATTCTTGTTGCACATTGCCTCGATAAAAAACTTCGATGGATTATTAATCGGAATTGAGTATTTTTGTTGCACGTTGCCCCTTCAAATGTTATTTTTGTTGCACGTTGCCCCTTAAAAACACTACTTATTTGCACGTTGCCCCTTTAAAATGTTATTTTTATTGCACAATGCCTTCCAAAAATTGGCTTATGTGGTAAAGTGCAACCAAAATAGTATTTCGAAGGGGGAGTATGGCTTTTTTTAATTTTTTAGGAAAATATGAAAAAAGAAACATGGGGAAAGAGCAAAAATAGGAAAATTATAGGGGGTGAAGTGCATTTTGTCCTTAAAAGAAAATCAAATAACTAGAAGAATTTTAGATCGTTTATATCTTCTATATTATATATATTTTTTATATTGATTATCTTTTTAATTTCATATATTTTTCTAATTTCTATAATAATTATTTTTAAATCCAATTATTTGTAAATTTTTGGGACAAAATGCACTTCACCCCCTATAAATTTCTCATTTTTACTCTTTACCCCTAAAAATTTAAAAAATGGATAACCAACTTCAAAATATTGTTTTGGTGGCACTTCGCCCCCAAAAGCCAATTACAAGTGGGCATCGTGCACCAAAAATAACATCTTAAAGGGGCAGCATGCATAAACATAATATTTTTAAGGGGCAATGTGCAACAAAAAAACACTCGATTCCGGTAAATAATTAATTGAATTTTTGCTATCGGGTCAATGTGCAAAAGATAGAAATATATAGGGGGTGGCGTGCAATTAGCCCAAAATTTTATAACAGTTAATTACAAGTACTCCGGAATAAATAGTTTTTAGACGGGGATAGGGTTAATTATAACCAAGGTTGTAAAAAGCGGTAATCGGGTCCGAGTCGGTCAGGCACCGATTCACGATTAATCGGTGCGGCGGTGATTAATTGGTGATAAATCGGAAATAAATCGGTTTTTAAAATTTAATATAATATATCTCTAGAAATTATTTATAAATACTCGAAACATATCTAAAAATATATTTAAACATAGTTATATCTCCATCATGTATATATTCTTAATAACATAATAAAAGTTTAATAATTATAAGATCATAATGCATAAATATCCTTATAAAATATAAATAAAAAAACAATTTTTTTGAATTTACATTTATTCTTGAACATTTCTGGCATACATCATTAGTTCTTTAACAATAACAATTAACATAAACAAAATAAGGCATAAACTCATATTTTCTTTTATTAAAATCCCAACTTTTATTTTAAATTAAAAAAAAAAAAAAAAAACCGATTTTTGACCGATTTTTGGCCGATTTTTGCCACCGAGTTTGACCCGTCTTAAAGGTTTGACCGCCTCAGACCGCCTCGGACCGCCTTAGACCGCCTAAAACCGCCTCACAGGCAAAAAACCGATTTTTCAAACCTTTACACTAAAATCGAGGTTTTGGACCGCCTCCGCCTCGGAGACCAATTAATCGGCCGCCTCGGCCAATTTTTAGAATTAGAACACTGATTATAACTAGTTCGGGATAGATAGTATCTAGATGGATCCCCAACTATTCTTATTTTTCAAGCAGTAAGGTGTCTAATAGTCTAATTAATGCATCTAGAATATGAACATCCAATTCAGTATCAAGTTAGTCAGATACACGAGAACCTTCATTTATTTGATAAAACGTTACAATTGAAGCAAACATGTAGAGAGAGAGAGAGAGAGAGAGAGAGAGAGAGAGAGAGAGAGAGAGAGAGAGAGAGAGAGAGAGAGAGAGAGAGAGAGAGAGAGAGAGAGAGAGAGAGAGAGAGAGAGAGAGAGAGAGAGAGAGAGAGAGAGAGAGAGAGAGCGAGAGAGCGAGAGAGAGAGAGCGAGAGAGAGCGAGAGAGAGAGAGAGAGAGAGAGAGAGAGAGAGAGAAGATTTCCAAGATTAAGAGAGAGAGAAGACATGAACAAGAAATATAAGGAGAACGGAAAAAAGAGGAAAAGATGACAAGTCATTTAAGACATAGCGAAACCTTACTTAATTTCAAAAGCTCGAATCGATAATTTTATATTTTTGGTACAACTTTCTTAATAATTTCCATCAGATTATTATCTTCCTCAAATTCTTGCAGGTAACTAATTAACATGGACAAAGTAGATGCGTCGGCCGAAAATCCCCTTTTGTGGATTTCCTCTAAGAGTGGCAGTGCCTTGTAAACCTCTTTCTTCTTCAACAAGCAACAAATAATGGTATTGTATGTCATGCTATCCGGTGCGCAACCACTTCTCTCCATTTTTATAAGCACATCTTTTGCCTCGTCTACAAACCCTTCTTCACAAAGTGCACGAATAATGACAGCATATATTTTAATATTAGGTTGCAACCCTTTGGAAGGAAGTTCGTTCAAAATATTTTTCGCATCTTCAAGTTTCCCATCTTTGCACAAACCATTAATCAGGATACCGTATGTGATTATATTAGGACTTACTCCTTTATCTTCCATCGCCCGTAGAAACGAAAACGCTTCGGCAATCTGATGAGTCTTGCACAAAGCCTTCCAACAAAATATTGCAAGTAGATAAATTAGGATGTACTTGCCGAGTTTCCATATCCTTATAAAGGTTTCCATCCATCCGCATTTCTGCCTTCACTAAGTAATCCGTGTATCATGATGCTATACGTAACCGTCGTGTGCTCTAAGCCTTTAGAAGAAGCTTCAAGAAAAAGACGCAACGCTTCATCAACTTTTCCCCGCTTGCAGTATCCGTTCATTAAAGTGCCGTAGCTGATAATAGATGGCTTAAGGCCGTTGCCCGTTATGGAATCAAACAACTCTTTCGCTTTATCCATTTTCTCTTGCTAACAGTACCCATGTATCAGTGCGTTGTAAGTGACAATATCGGGACAAATATTTTTACTGATTCATAATTTCCAATACCTCCCGAGCCTCTTTAACATTTCCTTCCTTGCAAAACGCGTCCACCAATACATTTAAAGTAACAACATCTAACGAAATCTTGTGATTCACCATTTCATTTAATAAACCCTTCACCTCTTTCCATCTACCAAAATCGCACAAGCCCTGACCATCGAGGTATACGTGACAACGGTGGGTGAAATGCCCTTATCGATCATTCTAGACTTGAGCTCGAGTGCATCATCCAACGTTCCGTTCTTGCATAAGCCATTAATTACAGCGTTATAAGCCTTAACATCGGGTTTATAGATAGTCTTATCTAATAACAAATCACGAGCAGCAAGAATATGTCCATTTTTGCGGAGCCCGTCTATCCCAGTCAGAATCGTAACATCGATCGGCTCACAGAGTTTCAAAGTCAAAAGTCATCAGCCACTTTACCATCTAAGAAGAGCCCTTGTAAGAGGGTGGTGAAAAAAGGGCCTATTTTTGTGAAAATTTGAAGAGAAGAAAGAGAAAGAAGAAGTAAAAGCACCGTATTCATGAGAAGATTCAGTAGTAATTGCTCTACAAAGCATAGCTATTCCAAAACCCCGCATCCTCGGAAATTCGGCTGCAAAATAAACAAAGTTGCTTTCGGTTGTGTGAAGTGTTTAGTGAGTTATTATATAGAAAAATGAGGGATAACCTACTCAATAAGCAAAATAATAGAGTACAAGTCCATTTTAATATTAACTATTCGCAAAGAAATCTGAAAAGGGCTTATTTAGAAAAAAAAAAAAGTTCAAAAGACCCGGAACCGACCCGGACCCGGTCTAACTGAATTCAATTTGTTTTTCTTTTCCAACAGTCAAGATTCAAAAAAAAATAAAAAATCAAAAGACCGGTTTTGGACCCGGACCCGAGTGGACATGACCCGGACCCAGACACTACAACATATATGGCTTTAAGCGACGCAAGAAAACCGTCGGGAAAGACTTAAAAACCGTCGGGAATAGTTTTTCCGACGGTTTTAGACCGTCAGGAGACCGTCGAGAAAAAAGGCGTCGTATAAAGTTTCATGTGTAAAAAAACCGTCGGGAATGTTTTTTCCGACGCTTAAATAACCGTCGGGAATACTTGTACATTTTTTAGAACTCTTCTTTTTCTACCAATTATAATCCAATTTTCCCTGAATCTTGTTGCCATCAATTGTTGAACATAAAAAATCGAAGACAACAAAAATTAACTTGCCAATACTAAATAAGTATTTACATCTTAAGATAACAAAATATATATTTCAATTTCCAAACATATGCTGGTTTATCTGAATTTCCACAAAATATAGTCAAATTTTAATAAAATTTGCAATTGAAGTTTATCTGAACTTGAACAAAAGACTCCAGCCACCTCAATAGCTCACATTTTAACAATCTTCTATCGCTGCTGTTAAGTGTATATTTATACACTTAATTGTACCTTTTAATTGGAGCTTTTGATGTGTTTTTACGATAATTGGTGCTTAATATGGTTATTATTTGTATTTTAGGTGCAAATTGAAGAATTGGCAACTTTTGGGGTGAAAACTGCAAATTCGGAGAAAAAGTGGGCCAAAAGTGACAAAATCAGAATTCTGGAGAATCAAGGACCGGACGGCCGTCCGGATTTTAAAGCCTATTCTCGCACGGCCGTCCGGATGGACGTTGGGGCGCAGTGAAGGAAGCTTAATTACACAAGGAAACCCGCCCTATTATATTTTTGCACCCTATTTAAAGGCCACAAGCACACAATTAGGATTATCTTTTACCTTTTATCTTGAATCTTTAGGTTTTTATTTTTCATCTTTCTACACGCAATCAAGGAGCACAAGAACGAAGACGAAGACTTGACGATTCTTCATCATAGTTCTCCTCTTTTATTAGCTTTTATGATTTTTTGTATTTTTATTATGTTTTTCGTAACGAACATGAGTAGCTAAGTTTTTATTCTAGGATTTTATTGGAACCCTATGTGGTAATTCGAACCTCTTTTTCGACTTTTATGCAAGTTTAATTCTTCGATTATTTCTTCTATCTTGATCTTATTTAGCGCATGAACGTAGCTAATTTATGTTGCTATTTGTTATTGTTAGAATTGATTGACAGATCGTTTTAATAATTAGAACAGGGATAGAAGAGCCTTCGAGTAGTTTTTCACCGAATGTGTGTGTTGATTGCATGTATTATCGTAGACATACAGATAATACCTTAGGTAGCCGTTTACGAGACTTGTTATTGAATGCTTTATTTATACTAGGTTCGCATAGACATATAGTGAATCTTTTATGAATAATAGGCTTATAGCGCAGCGACAGCTGGTTATGAGTAATTTCGTGTCTTGGATTAATAATCGGGAATCGTAACTTGCATGATAGGAGATTAATTGGGTGAAGAATTATCGCATAGGGGGAAGATAAAATCCTAGATCCGTTTTATATTGATATTTTCTCGTGATTAATTGCTTTCTTAATTATTTTAATTCAATTAGTTAATTAATTTGACAACCTTGCGTAGGCTGGATAAAAATCACAATTGTTAGGATTTGGTACTTAGGATTAAATAATTTGCGTATTCCCTGTGGGATCGACATCCGACTCTCACGAGTCTACTTTACTACTTGTTTGCGATACGTACACTTGCGTGTTGGTATTTAGCACCCAACAAGTTTTTGGCGCCGTTGCCGGGGAATACGGCTAAATTATTTATTTATCCTAATATTAAATTTGAGCAATTTTTCTTACTCCAGCCAATTTATTTATTTTATTTAATTATTTTATTTTATTTTATTTTGTTTTAGGTACTTTTTATGCGAAGAGGACACGACACGAACTTGCTACCTCTTGATCCCGAAATTGAGCGAACGTTTAGGCAGCCAGGAGAAATCAACGGTTAGCCCAAAACACTCCGGCAACGATGGAAGACGAGAATAATCGTGGAGGAGGTGACCAAGGGCGCCTACTGAATGCGGTAGGGGAAATCGTTATCGAGCAAGAGCAACGCCAGCTAATCAATCCACCGCCTCGTCAACGAGCACTGCATGAGTACACTGTCCCGACACTCAATGGGTTCCAATCAAGCATCCAGCAGCCCCCCATTGAAGCCAACAATTTCGAGATTCGAGCGGGACTCCTCACGATGCTCCAAAACAATGGGTTATTCAGCGGATTGGCTCATGAAGACCCACATCTCCACTTAGTCAATTTCCTCGAAACGTGTGACTCGCACAAGATGAACGGAGTATCACCTGAAGCATTGCAACTCCGCCTGTTCAAACACTCCCTACAAGGAGCAGCCCGAGAATGGTTGCAAACTCGCGCATCGCACTCCATCTCGTCTTGGGCCCAGCTAGCGCAACTCTTTATGAACACATACAACTCCCCAACAAAAACTGAGAGAATCCGGCGAGAAATTCAAAACTTCATTCAAGAAGCCGGTGAAGCATTATTCGAAACGTGGGAGCGGTTCAAACAGTTAGTAAGGAGGTGCCCGAATCACGGACTACAAGAGTGGCGCCAACTGCAAATATTTTACGATGGACTGCAAGACAACTCGAGGACAGTGCTCGACTCTGCAGCTGGAGGTATGTTCATGAGTTTGACCTACGACGAAGCATACGAGCTCTTGGAGCGAATTGCTAGAAATAAATACATGCGGGCATCGGACCGGTCGAATAGCGGAGCAGTCAAGACGGGAGGAATTTTGGAGTTAGACGGAGTCACTGCAATCACGGCCCAATTGGAGAAGCTATCGAAGCAAGTAGCGGCTTTGCAGACTCAGCAAGTCCACGCAGTCCAAGTTCCCGACCAGCGCGTAGAAGAAACGGAGTCTCTGAATTATGTGCATGACACCAACCGACAACAGAGGAACCCGTACTCCAACACTTACAATCCCGGATGGAAGGATCACCCTAACTTTGGGTGGGGAGGAAATCAGCAAGGGCAAAGGCAAGCACCACCTCAAGGCCAACCGCCTAATTATTCACGACCAGCTCCCGGATTTCAAAATCCGCCTCAAGCTCAACCTCAAGGAGGAGATCTCGCAAATATATTGGCGCAATTTATGACAACCACCCAAGCCTCCATCCGAAATTTGGAAACACAGATGGGTCAACTCGCAACCCAGCTAACCACGAGGCCATCGGGAGCACTGCCGTCGAATACGGAAGACCCTCGGAAGAACAACGTCGAGCAGTGCAACGCTGTGAGTTTAAGGAATGGGAGACAATTGGAGGAAGCCCCACGAAAAGAGAAGCAAAACACGGTGATCGAGAAGCCGAGCGTGATTGGAGAAAAAGAAGCGACTCACGAAGAACCACTATCATCTCCAGTGAAATCACGAGCCCCTCCAATTCCATATCCTCAGAAGCTTATGAAGAAGAAGCTCGATGCCGAGTATCAAAGATTTTTGGACAAGCTGAAGGAAATCCAAATAAATATCCCGTTTATTGAAGCCCTTCAAAAGATGCCAAAGTGGGTGAAGTTCCTCAAAGATCTCGTGACGAAAAGAAAGAAATTGCAAGGGAACGAGATGATCCAACTCACGGAACAATGTAGTGCAATTATTACACGG